GGTTCACAGGCTTTTCATTTAATTATATATATGTATATATATATATATGTATTCAAAACCAACCATTATACGTTGTAGTTTGATAAATTTGCATATATCAGTTTTTGCAGACACAGATAATTTCATAAGCATTGACCGTGGAGCCAGCAACGCATACGCTGACCCACAAACTAAAATCTTGTATGAGACAGACATAAGCTTTGTAGAAGCAGGAACAAATGCTATGGTGGCACCTGATAAAAGATATAACGCAGACGATCTTTATTCTGGGAGGCAATTCCAAACGCTGAGAAGTTTCCCAGAAGGAAAAAGGAACTGCTACAGCCTAAAACCAAAACAGGAAAAAAACAAAAATTACCTTATAAAAGCTTCCTCCGCATATGGGAATTATGATGGCAAGAATCAGACTCCATAATATGGAATCATGTAGGACTTCATTCCATTCCTCGAGGTAGCGTTTGGATTAATGGTCCTAAATTTGGATTTTAGATTTTAATTCTTTCATTTCAAATCACATATTTAATACCCATATATTTAAAATCCTTTTTTGTGTAATGAAATAAGTTGAGATTCAAAACAAAAAATAAAAAATTAGAAATAATGAATTTATTTTTATTTTTAATCTACAAGAGATGATAAAAGATACGAAAGTATAAAAATATCAATAGTGAAAATGTAAAAAAAAAAAATCAAAATGTTTGAAGTGAAGATAATTTCAAATGACTGGAGTTAGAGAGAATTTGAAATTATAAAAAAATTATAATGAGAAACGGTTCATAAATTTTTGCGAATCCAAATAAATGATTTGGTTTAAATCCAAATCCTTGTTAATTCAAGTGCACCATAAGATTCTTGGAACAAATGTGTCCTATATTTTCCATCTCCATACACATGAAAGTACCACCTATATATTGTTCAACATTCAACACGCCTGTATTCAACAAATTAAAAAGAAGCTTATTCAAACTAATTTGAAATAGTAGAACTAGACAGATCTATCACTTTAGAGAGATTGGATTCAAATTATAAGCAAATTATCTATCTACCAGACAAAGTACTAAAGCCCGAATCAAATTTCGAGGTGCTCATATCCATGGAACTGCTTGAATCATTGGTGTTGTGGCTAGTGATCTTTTCCAAGCTTATTTCCATTGCCAGGCATTCCCTTAGTTCAACCACCACTTGACTTATATCAGGCCTTTGAATTGCAGATGGTGCAGTGCATGATATGGCTATCTCTAGAAATTTCCAAGCAGAATCAACACTATATTGTCCTTGTAACCCTGGATCAATGATGGACTGAATATCCTTGCTTCCAAGTCTAAGGGTGACCCATTGAAGTAGGAGACTAAAGGTATGGACTGGTTGTCTTTTTGCTGCTGGTTTTCCAGTAATCTAAAAAAATTATTCCAAAACTATAAATATCGCTTCCTTTCGTAAGGTTTCCAGTATTTTGAAATCTGTAAAAATTAAAGAGAAGAAAACTAACGGTGAGACCTCCTCAAAAAATAGCTCTCCATAAGCTTTATTCGAGAAGATAATTTTCTTCTCAACTAGAATTGTGTCCCATTACATTGCTTGGTATAGATTAAAAAGTGAGAAAATATTATCTAGAAAACAAGATATATGAATAAATTTCATTCATGATTCTAAATTGAATATCACATCTTTGAGGTGATTTAATAATATCTTTAAAAAATCTGATGAAACCAAACTGCAAAAATATGAATTTAATGTTCCTTCCAATTAACTCAATAGTGTTCATTCCACATGCTCTTTGTATTGCATTAAATTTAGTGGTCGTCTCAAGGATAAGTACCCCAGGGTCTCATTCTTGATACGGCATTTAGACAAATTAATTTTGTAAGTTAAACATTCTTTCTTTAAAAAGTATCACTTAGAAGAATAATTTAAGTTTCTATTTTGCGCCTATGAAAATCGAAAAATGTTGAAATATTTTTCAAGAAAACAAAATATAATACAATTTGGATGGTTTAATTTTATTATGGAAATATTAGCATGATGTGTGTATAAGATCCATGCTCATTTTCTTGTAAGCAGCTTCACATTATTTTCTTTTTGGCTTTCTTAATGTAAGAAAATAAAAAAAAATTATTGACTTTCATACTCTGGTCCTATTGATAACCGGTATAAAAACTACTTCCTACACTAGTTATTTGGAAGAACTGGTGGAAAAAGTGCCTACCACCCCCTCCTTTTTAAGCACTTTTTACACCAGTTTTATAACTAATGTAAAAAGTATATTTTGCAGTGGCACACGTGTACATATACTTTATAAAAAATACTTACTCAGGATCAAGATATCCAAATATTCCAGCAGGACGAGTTGAGACATGACTATCAATATCATTTGCAAAAGCTCTAGACAATTCGAAATCAGCAATCTTAGCTTCCATATGTTTATCCAGAAATGTTAGAAGCTTTTAGATCTCTATGCACTATCACCGACTTACAACCATTATGCAAATAATCCAATCCTGCAACTCCATTTATTATATATGTGTGTAATAACAAAATCAATTATTTATTATTATTATCCATTAAATGTATGACTCCAAACTCCGGTTTAACTTATGAATAAATATTAATTTGTAAGAAATGAATGAAATTAAAGTTTTATTTGTTTTAAGTCATTTAAAAATTTTTTCATCTAAATATTATTTATGTATCTTTCACATATATAATTTAAAAAATTATAATTTATTTAAAATATGTAATTTTTCCTTTACAACTCGAAAGAATCTTATCATACATCTCATAAAAGTTTTCATTTTGGGCCAATCTTGTAAACATAAAAAGTTAACATAGTTTTGTTTACCATGTGCTGAGTCCAATGCAATTTGAAGCCGGTCCTTCCATTTCAAAGCACCCGGATTCTTACCTGTATAACTAATATAATTAGATTTTTTTATATATATACCTTCAAAAGGTGATCAATGAAGAACATAATGTATTATTGGGGTGTAGAAATCCCTATATATATATATATATATATATTAATTTTTCCATACAGTATATGGTATTCATGGATTACACAAATGCATATTCCCGAATGAGTCTACATGCATATGCAAAGCTTCTCCATCGTAAAATATTAACACATTAGCTTAACATTTAATTTTTATATTGCACAGACGACTTATGAGCAATAATGTAGCTTGTTGTGGATTTTAATACATTCCCCATCCTTATTACATGACACCTTTAACTACCTCATCAAATTAACCAATAAGAAATGGTTAAGTCATCAACTTTATTTAAAAATAAAATAAGCTTCCAGTTTTACCTCTATTTAAATGAAAAAAAATTTAAATTAATAGTTAATAAATTTAAATAAGGATTATGTTAGAAAAATGTAATTAATATCTCACTAAATATTTTATATTAAGGATCAAATAATCATTTTAGAAGAAGTCCTGTAATAAGGACTAGAGGGAGTATATTGATGATATGTTAATTATTGATTATGAGATATTACTTATATAGAATATGTCTAATCAAAGCATGAAGAAGTTCCAACCCAAAAAGGCAAAACGGGCAGGAAAAAAAAAACACAAAGAAAGAAAGAAAGAACGCTTTTACAAGGAAGATTTCATACCTGATAAGTGTTGGTGGAGGTCACCATTAGCCGTATACTCATAAATTAATGCTGTGACCCCACTTCCTTCACAGTACCCTATCAGTGAAACTAGGTGTCTATGATGAACGACCATAAGAAGTTCTACCTGCAACATCATACTTAACTTCATCATCTATATGACACTCGACTTAATTATACAGAACAAATTATTTTTCTAATTATATGTCTCACAAAACAGGGCATCTATGAGAAATTGGTAAAATTTAGATTTCGACTTTACCTCCGATCGAAATTCTCTATGACCTTGCATTGATGATTGAGAAAGTAACTTGACTGCAACTTGAGCATTATTCTTAAGAGTTCCCAGATAAACTTTTCCAAATCCTCCTTGTCCAATCAAGTTTTGAAAATTATCAGTGATCTCAAGAATTTCGGAGTAAGAAAAGGCACGATTTCTTGAATATTCTGATGCTTCTTGCTTTGTTGAAATAGTAGAATCCACTGCAAAGGTTAATAACGATTATCAGAAGAACTTCACGTCAAGTGCGTGTCATGAATTGGGAAAATGAAGATTGCACAAAATAACATTAAAAATGTGAACATTAGCACTTTGATATTTTCTCCACTATTTCAAAGGGTTGTGACTAATAAATTGACATAATTATTTTACAGACAACTATTATTTTAGTGCAAACGAGAGATGATGAGAGTGACATCCCAGGGGTTGCTTAGCATGAGGGATATAGGCAGGGGAATTAGAACTGTCCAAAAGGGAGGGAGGGAGTTTTTTTCTTCTTTTTTATTGCAAACATATGCCCTCTTATTGGAGACACCTATTAAAGGCATGGTTGGACTTTAAATATGAGTACCTTTTTTAATGAAGATTTAAACCTTAGTTCATCAAGTTGTGGAGGATTAACTTTTTTTGTAAGACCTAGCTATTATTGATCAAAAAGGCTGTAGGAAGTTGGTTATTCCCCATTTTTTTATTAATTTCTGAAATTAATTTTAAAATTATCAAGATATAACTGTAATAACCCACAAAATTATTTGTAAAAAAATTTAAATTTAAATTTAAATTAAATGTGTGTATTAATTATACTTATATTAATTTTGGAACACCTTTGGCAAGAAGCGTAGCTGGTGTAGTGGGAGCTGTGTATGTTTCTCATCATGTCTCGAGATCGAATCCTAGAGTGGTCAAAGTAAGAGTTTTAGTTTTTAAAATATGCCTGCTTTCAACTTCTGAAATTATCAAAATACCTCAACCCACGGGATTTTATTTTGAAAGAATTACAGTTAGGTCTTACATAAGAAACCCTGCAGTAATTAATTTCCTTATATGAAATCTAATTCAGTTGTCAATGAACCCTGCAGTAATTAATTTCCTTATGAGACTTTAACATCATTCTCCTTTTTATTTTCCCTTCTCTCCTTATCTTCTCTTCAGATCTGTAGGCATGAGTCAGAGGGGAGAGCTGAGAATTTCGCTAGAAACTTCAAACCCTTGTTCAGCCTTCCGTCCTCTGTCGTCATCTCTATCATTCAAATGGTCGCCGATGACTTCATGAACGCCGAAAATTTCACTGTGGGAAGGCATAAATGGGCCGGTATCGCTCTCCCCTGTTATGCGTCAATCTCCCTTATTCTGCCATTTGTGAAATTGTGCAAGTAATTCGGGTTTCCTAGCCATTTTTCAATTCGTCGCATGTGGCTGTGAGCTCGCGGGAGTTTTTCTCCTCCTCCTGTGCTGGAATCGTGCAGTAGACACAAAATTCCCTTCCCTTCCCTGTTCGTGCGTTGTTGGTCTATCAGAGGTAAGAAACTTGATCTCGTCTCCTTTCCTTGGAAAATTTCTGCACGTGTGAATGGGTGAAGGGATGGAATTGATGCTACAAAATTTTGTTCTGTAGATGCTGCGGTTGGTGCGTGAGTTCTTCTTCCTTTGTTCTGATCAGCTTTCTTCTCTTCTTCTTCTTTATGGTTGCTAATTCATGTTTGAAATTTTGCACCCTTCATCTCGTTAATTTGGTGTGTGGGCATTTTAATGGTTGAAGTCACAGAATTTTTAGTGTGTTTTGCTGCAGCCCGTGTGTTTTAGAGAAGAGGAAATTCAAATGTTGAGCTGAAAATTCATCTTAAAGCTTGATACTAATTTATATATGGTCATAATTTCTGAACTAAATTAACTTGTTTGGAATGGTTGATCTTAAAGCAATTGTTAGAATGAAATTGAAAAAAGAGAGCTTAAATGAGATACTTAGAATTTAATGTCTATAAGGTGTTTGCTAAAAGGCTTGTTAGAAGAAATTGAACTTAACTTTGAATGCTTTGAAATTTCATTGGTTTTTAGGATTTGTGTGGTTAATGGTAAATTGTTGGATATTTTAATTGAACGGTTAGAATTAATGCATCTAAAATGATTGGTGCAAAGCCTAAGAGAAAATTTTGCCTCAAATAAATAAAATGACATGGCTAAAGCTATATGGAGGAGGTTACTAAGATGAATGAAAATACACGGGCCAATTCTAAAGCATGAATTTTAGTTTTAAAATTTTAGATGATGGTGGTTGACTTGGAATTATGTTAGAAATTGGAAATCTATTAAAATTTCATTTATTATATTTTTTATAGGGTGTATGGAAGAAGAGAATCCTGATAAAAATTAAAGAAAGAATATTTTGAAATATTGGAACTCCAACAAGTAAGTGAATAGCATCCCATTTAATTTATCATGATTACTAGTCTTTTATTAAAATATTTTACTTTTATGAATTATTCTGGTTTTGAAAATTATGGAATAGTGATGAAGGATAATTAAATTATGATATGTGCAGTTATTTTTCCTCAATAAATATACTTCCAAGATTGATGAGGGCATCTTTGTTTATTAAACTTTAGAACTTCTTAATTACTCGATTAATGCAAGATTATACATTAGTTATGAAGTATTATTTTGACAAGTTATGAGATTTGAAATAATTCATGTGAGTTTGGCATTAAGAATGAAATTTTTATCTCCGAAATGATTATTTTTTTGCATGTTTGAAATGTGTTTTTTAAGAGCACTCTAAATAAAACACTGCTATTAACAACAATTCTGTTAGCCAGTAGCGCTGTGGTTAATAACTAGCTAGTTTGTCTTGTGGGCTTTGTCTTCACGTTTGTTATTCGTGAGCTTGGTACCCGCATTTGATTTGGTAGTCTTAAGTTAAACTTTGTTAGTATTATCTTCGTGGACTGTGTGTCCATGTTTGTTTTTGTAGCTCATGGTACGTTTTGTTACTTATCATCATGGACTATGTGTTTATGTTTGTCTTCGTAGCATAAACCACGTTTTGTTATTTATCCTCATGGACTATGTGTCGACATTTATTACCTATTATTTTGAGTTCTCACAATTATAAATTTTGATTAACATGTGTTTTTGAAATTTCAATGGTTTCGGTTAGGAAGTGTATTATTTGTATGAATAATTTGTTTTCTTTAAGTATGATAGAATAAAGTTCTTCCAATTTACTCTTATTTTATGATTAAAAAATTATAATTTTTGTTATAAGTTATTACAATGAATTATTCCCTTTTCAATTATTGTACATGATTATTTAAGTTTATTATTTTACTCTTTTAAATTTTATTTGTGAGAATGCTATTCACTATGAAATTTGTTTTGGTCTCAAATTTATTAGTTGACATTGATCCTATTGTTCATCTCTAAAGGGCGTACAAGTGTTCTGGGTGGGATTTTATTTAACATTACGTCCACTTAATGTAAATATTTGGATTTATGTATTTTAATTCAAAAGTAAGATTATGTGCTCCACATAGTTTATAGTTAGAGTTTTTATTTTGATTTATATACTATTTGTTGGTTGGAAGGAGCTAAATTCTTGATTTATTTGATATTTTAACTGAATCAGTGTATCATAGAGTTTTCATAAAATCCTATTTAGAGGGGACGTTTTGTTGAAATTTCTACGAACATATTGAAACTTTGTTACAATATGACTAGTATCAAAGTGTTATGATTTCAATATAAATCTAATTATATTTTAAAAATATAATGAGTTTATGATTTGAGATTTATAGGGATATGTGACACGGTTCATATCCCATACCGATCACTCTCAATGTTTGAGGCATGACAATATCATAGCAAAAAAAAATTGAAATTAGTTTGGATGTGTTAGGACCTGCCCATGGCAAGTTTGGATGTGTCAAGATTAGCTTATGGCAAGTTTGGATGTGCCAAGACTTGATCATAGATAAGTTTGGACTAGCCATGGACTTACCCAAACTTGCTATGGCCTTGTAAACACTTGCTATGGCTTTGCCCAAACTTGCCATGGACTTGTTCAAGATTACCAACACTTGCTATGGCGTTGTCCTAAATTACCAACACTTAACTAAACCTTGTATGTTACAAACACTTATCACGGGCTCGTTCAAGATTTCCAATACTTGCCCGGACCTTGTCATGGGCTTGCCCGAAGATGTCTCTATTTTGGCCTGTCATGGAAGAGATGATTCTTTCTTCCGCTTGAAACGTGTATTTGTGTGTGCATATCCATTATGCTTATAATATTGAAAAGTATTATATTTTATTATTTTTAAATTTTAATTCAAAGACAAAAATAATTTTCATCAATAAAATTATTTTATTTTATTTTATTTTTATTTTTCGTTTCATTTCATTCTATACTTACCAAGAAAATAGTAATTAGAAATGAGGAGTATTTGTGCATACCTTTCTTTTTTTTCAATTTGAAGATCCATATTCCTAGGGAAATAACCAAGACAATGACAGTCAAAGCTAAAACAGCTGCAATAAGTGGAATAACGAACTTATGCTTTTTGCATGAATCCCTCGAACAGAGGCCGGGATTGTCATCTAAACTGAAAGATAACTCAAAGTAATTAAGTTAGAATTACAAATGACTTAGTAATCGTATTGAGTTTTATTTTGGGCTGTTGCCTGAAAACACAAGTCAAGAGAAATAAAATTGGTTCGATCACCATTGAAACACATCCAGTTTAATCACATTAAATTGATATTGATCAATTAATTTTAGTTTAATTCCCACAAGGAACAATTTAAAAAAAAAAAAGTCAAGCGCACAACTAAGCAATAGGATAGATTGGGATGAGAAACCTCATTTGCAGATCTGGTTTGTCCTCAAGAGCTTTGGGAATTGAGCCGGTAAGCTTGTTGCCGCTTAAAATACTGTAGAAAAAATTATGAAATATAATCCCTTGGTGATATTTGGAGTTGTTTTCATGATATATATGCTCTAGCTAGTAGTGATCCATAGTCAATTTAACTAATCAATACTTACAGAACTCTCAACTTTGTCAATTCAGCTAGAACTTCTGGTATTGATCCTGATAAGGCATTACCTGACAAATCCCTAAAAGAAAGCAAAGAAATATTTTAAACGATATATGTATATATATTCTTGTATTAATTAATGATTTTTTCCCGTTCTTAAATTAATTATAAACTTACAGGGACTCTAACTCGGTAAGTTGTGAAAATGAAGTAGCAATGTGTCCTGCTAACCTGCTCCTACTCTAGTTTCTGCTTGCAATAATGATCAACAGATGCTTACAAGACAGGTGATTATAAAGTTTTCTCAAAGCCAAGTTTAATTAATCGTAAATCCACTTGACATAACATCCAATTGATCTTGAGTCAAGTCAATTTTGCATTTGAGAATTAAACATTAAAGCATTTAGAATGAGTGGAACTAATCAGACGGTTCATATTGCAACAAGGAACGTTCATAACTTAACCAATTTCACCTTTTTACTTTATAGTTAAAGGAGCGAATGCTTACAATGAGGTGATCCTTGCGTTGGACTCATCGATTCCATATCTACAGCTAAGTCCCTCCCATGCATATTCATTGGGAACACATGGGTCACCTTGCCAGTCTGCTTTGGAGATTTTGTATGTGATCTTGACGTCCAGAATGGCAACCACTATTATTACCCATAGTAAATAGTAAATAGGGCCTCAGGAGTCAAAGTCAAACATATTCTCATGCACACAGAAATGATAGAATATAAGGAAATAGTGCGAACAAGGATTAAAGAGTAGCACATATATACCATCTATTTGGTTTGTTGGGGAAGTTAGTGGTGATACGAATTTATAAATCTCAAAGGCATTGAGGATTGGAGGAGCGTCAGATTCGGACGTTGCACTTATGCTGAAACGAATATCACTGATTTGTAAAAGCAGCAACTGTCTGTGGTTTCAAGTATTCAAGAGCTAAAGGCTCTTTGAGGATTGTTTCATCATTAACAGTAATGCTGATTACTCTTTTTTTCCCTGGAAGAAGCTGCTCAATTTCAGCAAAGTGAAAATAGACATAAAAGGCGAAAGACTTTTCAAATGTACCACCCCAAACAGAACGAGTATCAAAGTTCAAAGAAAACGAGGGATTTGGAAGAAGCTGCAGATATCAAAACTTGTGACGGTAATTTGTAAGAATCATTTGTGCTTGCACTATCAATATTTACAGATCTATTGAATGGGTGCCAATCTGCCACTTTAGAAACTACGTCATAGCGCCACACACGATCATAGATGTCATCCTTGTACCTATAGATGCTTCCATGATTAGATAAATGAATTTGAGAATTGCTTCCATGCGTGTTTAAGGAGAAATAAGAAAGCAAGTATTGAGCCTTGAAGCCGACACTAAATTTAGATCCAGATAAGCATAGAGGAGAGAATAGGAAACTGAAACAATGAAAGATCACAGGAAACTGAAATAATGAAAAGAATTTATTAGGGTATGTTTAGTTTAAAGGGAGAGAGGGAAGGGCTGGGGAGGGGGCAGAGAGTAAATGATCTCTTATTTATTTGGTTTGATTAGATGGAATGAGAGCCAAAGGAGTTAATAATCAGTTGATGATTTCATTCTCTTATTAAAGTTGTTCTATTTTTTATTTATTATTAATTATTAATATAATATAATTTATTAATTTCATAATTTAAAAATGCCAATACTTTCATCTTACATCAATTTTTTTTTTGAAAAATCAATATATTAATATTATAATTTATCTAATTAAGGTCTTGTACGTTGATTATGATTTCCTCTTCTATGTTACTAACTTTATTCTTTACAACTTTCGAGTAAGAAAATTCCATGTATTTACTTTAACTTTTTTATTTTTATGGGAGGTCATTTTTCTCTGGGAGAATGATAGTGAAGTCCAAAATGATTGAATTAATGATAGTTAAGTCTTCAATAAAATTTTTTGAAAAATGATTCAAATAGTTACAAACAAAAATTCTTATTATAATTTAAGAGTTACATTTGATACTTGAATATTTATTTATAGTTGAAACTCATGAATTTATAATTATCTATATCGATATTTTTAACTCATTTTTTTAAAAAAATTGTCAAAGACTTAAATGTCATTAATTGAAGGTTTTGGCGCTTAACTATCATTCTTCCTTTTTCTTTTGATTCCAACAAAAAATATTGAAATTTTATACACAAATGAATTATGTATTAACTTTTATCTGGTAATAAAACTTATTTTATTATAAGTGAGAAGGGAAATTTTTTTTAATATCATAAATAGTTTTGCATTTTCAAAATAACATGAGAAAATAATATGGGAGCAATTTCATCAAGTTTATTTTCCTCTCCCCTCTCCCCGCTAAAACCCAAAAAGCTTCAATTTTGGATGCAGAAAGAGCACCATCCTTCTCCCTATGTTGTTTATCAACTAAACAAAGGAAGGGGAACAATTTTCCTCCCCTTCAAGACACCCCAACCAAACACACCCTCCATCTAGTATTATGCTGAAGGTTCTGTTGTATTCAATGATGGTTGTGTACATTTACAGTATCAGCTAAGTTATAACATGATTTGATAATCCCATCAAACAATTACGTATGAGAGATAAAATACATAAAAGCTTGAAAATGAATACATGCAAACACATGAGGCTAGAGAATATAAGTTTGGAGTCACCTGCTGAACACATCTGAAGTCGTGGAATTAATGTAGCCAACATCGATTCTTGCATCAAAGATTTGGAGTGACTGAGAAGGGGAGGGAGTCAGATAAATAGAATTGGTGAGGAGTCATAGCTCCAATGTAGAAATGAAAGGTATTCCCTTTCCAGACTTGACATGGCAAACATCTATGGTGTCTGTTGTTGGAGTATGAATAATCTCCGCAACCTGATAACCTTCATACGGAGGATTAACAGGTGTCCAGTGATTGACGCCAAGGTGCAAGTCAAAAGATGGAGTCTGATTTTTGCCATCATAATTTCCATATGCGAAGAAAGCTCTTATAAGGTAATTGTTGTTTTTGCCCTGTTTTGGTTTCAGGCTATAGCAATTCCTTGTTCCTTCTGGAAACTTTCTCAGCGTTTGCAATTGCCTCCCAAAATATAGAAAATCTATGTTATATCTTCTATCAGGTGCCACCATAGCATTTGTTCCTGTTTCTACAAAGCCTATGTCTGTCTGATAAAAGATTCCAGTTTGTGAGTCATTGTATGCGTTGCTTGCTCCACAGTCAATGCTTATGAAATGATCCGCGTCTGCAAAATCTGATACGTGCAAACTTATCAAACTACAACAAATAATGTTTGGTTTCAACTTTATATAATTAAAGGAAAAACCTGGAACCAATGAACTAATAAAATACTAAGCAAACTTTACCAGGGTTGCCAAACTTGAGGAAAAGTTGGATCAAGAACCATAGAATTCGTTGTGGCGTCCTCTCCATGTGATTTGTTGAATTCTGTAAAGACGCTCTCTCTTTATTACAAATAAATACATAAAAGAGTAACAGGGAAGTATAGAAGTAATAGAAAAACAATAGAGATGAACACACCTGGAACTTGGGATCTCAGATTCAAGCCAAGATGAGCAGCGATTTGAGTACTGTTTATATAAGTGGGAAGTAATGTTTACCCTTTGAGATTTGGATTTGGCTTGTGTTATTTTGTTTACTTAGCTTCGTTTGACTTTTAAACAGAAAATTAATAAAAAATAGTACTAATAGTTAATGATACACATTTGCGTGTTGATGGTAATTTTTTTTATTCAGGTTGATAGTAATTTTTTTTATAATAATTACATGTTTTTTTAATTATATATAGGTATCCTTCTATTGAATATAATTTTATTTGAGACATTGCGACCACTAAGTTTGAGCACTTCACTTGATAGGGACTCGAAATTACATGTTTTACTTATGGGCTAATAATTTGCACCTCGCCATACATTACCGTGACCTCACACAATCGGGAAGTAATTTTTATTTGTTCTTTAGAGAAAACTTCTATACTAAATTTTATAAATTTAATATGTTTATTTCTAATGAAATCAAGATGTGTGTAATTTTTTATCCATGATTTACGTCTAACTAAGTCTTGATATTAATAATATTTTAAATTGTTTAAAATGTTAAACTCTAGTTATACTAATTTAATTGAAAAAAAGTATATTAAGTATATAAAATTAAGATGTAATTTTTACCCTTCTTCTTTTATCTCATTCAAATTATTCAAACATTGAATTGTCATATTGTTAGAAACTAGTCTATTCGACTATACCTATCTCGTTGGTAGTAAGTTCCTTGATAATTAATATTTATGTGTAGTTTTGTTCTTTTGATTTGTAGTGAAATTCGAATAATACATCAACTTTGAATGTGTGTTTGATTGGGAGTTTTTGGTCCTGATCCAGAACAAGTCTAAAAATAATAACAAAAATAATTATAAATATTAAATAATAAACTATTATCCCTTTTTTTTTTTTTACGTTTTACTTTTCCCTTGTTTCCATCTTCCATGCATATAGAAACAAATTGACTTGACTTAGGGAGATTCCATCCTTTTGTGTGAAGTATGTGGTTGAGTGTGCATGAGTGTGTTCTTCAACTCTCATCCCCATATTCCTTATCCGAAAGCGGTTTCGTCGAAGGGCAACGGTAAGTGGTTGATTTTGGAATTAATGGTATTGACCCTCAAATTTTTTTTGTAACATGAATAATATTTGATTCTTGATCATTTGTTTTGTCTCCCCTTCAAATGAGACGGCACGGAAAAGTATAAAGCTGATCTTCGAAATTCCAAGTACTTGGATGGACATAGGAGTGAGGGAGTGGAAAAATCCACAACGTGCCATGACATCTGCCTTGGCATTTTAATTTTGGTAAAATATCATTTAAGAACCACAGGAGAATTTTTTTTATTATTAAAGAATGACTTTAAAGATATGAAATTTCATTACACCCTTAAGTACCTATATGAAAATAACATTTTATGATAAAAGATCTAATTATTTCTAAGATTTTATGGATGCATAAACAAGAATTCATTCAGTTTTAGAAAACTAATCATACATAATTAACAACAACCCATTCATGAATGAACAAGCAGCAAAAACCCCACAAGCCATGACATCCACCTTAGCATTTAATTTTTGAGGTGATTGCTTCTGATCCTTTAAGACTACGTTTCTATGTGCCACTGCCCCTCTCTTTCCTTAGATTTAAATTTGATGAGTGGTCTAAATCTACTCACTCAATAAATGTCTCAATTATGATCATTGAATTTTATTAAAACTTGAAAATTATTAAAATATATTTCTCTCAAAAAACTAAAAACAATAATCACAATAAAAACACTTTTACATATGTTGTCCCCTACAAAAATTTAAGATTTAGTACTTTTTAAATATTATATAACAAAATCTTTAATAACCGCTCAATTAAATCATACTATTGTTATTGTACCTAGTGAGACATTTATTAAGTAAGTGAACTAAATCCAAATTTTTGAATTTCTTTTCTCTTATCTAATTAATTAAGGCACCACCTCTGTTACATCGTCGCGCTTTCATTGCATAAGTATTCCGTTCATTTCCCTTTTATCTTTTTACAACTCAAATACTTCACCCATCTTTCTCTATCGCCTTTCTTTTTCTTTTTTTTACCAGCATCTCTCCATCCCTCCATCATGATTTTTTAACAATATTCATACCAATCACACTATTGAAAAAAAGAATCAATTACTTCATAAATTTTACAACATGACTTGCAACCATGCGAGAGTTAAAATAAAAAAAAAAAGGTTTCTGGCAGCTTGAAAATGATCTATAAATAGATCAGTGACACATAGGGATTTAATAAGAATGATTTTAAGTGTAATTGAACAGAAAAATTAGAAATCAAGTAACTTATGATTTTGTAAAAAATATATTGAAACACTATTAAATAGGGGCGTTTGGATATTTTAATAAGAAAATCATAATTTTATGTTCATAAGTGATTTTGACATATAATAAAGTGACTTTTGTATATATAAACCATGTTAAATGAATAAATCAAGCAAACGTCCCAATATTTATTATGATTAATTTATTATATTTGTCAATAATATACCGTTACATATCAATAATAAAACCTTTGTAAATTTTTAAAATTTTAATAATAAATTCATTGCATATTAATGATAAACCTCTATATATTAATATAAATCAGTCATACTCTTGAATTTTCAAAAATTTACTCTATATTTTTTAGGAAAAAGATTTTTTTTTTTTTGCTAGTGAGCCAATTTATCCTATAATAAAAGTGTTCATAATGTTTTTACAAAGTCATGGGTTGAACTTTTAAAATTAATTATTTTAATTATCCAAACATGCACGTGGTAGAAAATTTTGGCCACCACAAACAGTGCCATCAGAGGCCGCATTGGGATTGGGGTCCTTCGCAATTGACACCTGTAGTTTTCCTCCCTTGATATATTTGTAGTGATCTTCAACGTACAATCAATTTCTACAGAAAGGTATATCAACCTTATTCGCCAATTTGTGTGACTTTGTGACAATAGAAAATTATTCCACATTTCATATGTGGTCGGCTTATTTTCCCCAGTCTATTTAATTATTTAGTCATTGATTATAAGTATGGAAAACATCTTTTTTGATACAAAATACGGCAAATATCTTTGTTTTTGATCTTATACGGCACCCATAGCTACCCACACTTGAACACAGTGGTGACATTGAACCAAGAAGAAACAGTGGAAGCCATCGCACGGTCAAAGAAGAGCAGAGGAGGAGGAAGATCTCAAACCCATAACAGTACCCGTAACGGCGGCGAACCAACGGAGGGGAAGAAGGACGAGCTCCACTCACCATCACCTAGATGACGCCGAAAGAGGGAGAAGAAGGAATCGACGGTGAAGCCTGAACAAGGAGCGAGTAGATTGACCTGAACAGATTTCTTGCAGCAGCAAACTCCGGTGATCTGAACACCTACGCCGGCAAACTTGAAGACTGAAGAGGAAGGATGGAGAACGCCGTGGACATGCTAGAATCGAAGAAGAGCAGAGGTGGGTGGTTCTGGATTTTTCGAAAATGCCGAAGGAGGAGAAGGAAAAAAAAAATGAGGCGGTGCTTGCGTATCTGACCGAGAGAGAGAGAGAACATAAATCTGAAATTTATAAAATTGCAAAAATTACAAGAGAGGATCCAAAATTTCTTCTAATAACATAAAAGACATGGATACTTTTGTAATTTTCCATAATTTTAAACTATATAAAATTAATTTATTACTTAAAAAAAATTAAAACTGTGGGCCTTCAAGTAAGGTATTAGCATAAGTTTTACTAACTCACCCTTCTCCATTTACCATAAAACTAATTTAAAGAAAATATAAATTAGGAGAATTTTATTTTTTTTTGGGTCATTACACCATTTCTAGACTCGACAAGGCAAACATGTATGGTGTCTGTTGTGGAAGTATCGATAATCTCCGCTATATGATATCGATACGGATAAACAAGTGCCCAATGATTGACCCCGAGGTACAAGTCAAAAGTTGGAGTTTGATTTTTGCCATCATAATTTCCATATATATACAAAGGCAGCTCTTCTCTAAGGTAATTGTTCCTTTTGCCCTGTTTTGGTTTCAGGCTGTAGCAATCCTTTTTCCTTCTGGAAAACTTCTCAGCATTTGGAATTGCCTCCCAAAATAAATATAATCTTTGTCATATTTCTCATCAGGTGCCACCATATAATTTGTTCCTGTTTCAATAAAGCCTATGTCTGGTACGAGATTCCAGTTTGTGGGCTAGCGTATGCGGTGTTTGCTCCACGGTCAATGCTTATGAAATCTGTGTCAGCTGCAAAAGCTGCATATACAAATTTATCAAACCACAACAAGATATGATTGGTTTTAAATTAAAGGAAAACCTGTGAAACAAAGAGACATAGAAGGATTGCCAAACTTGAGGAAAAGTTGGATCAAGGCGAACCATATAATTTGCTTTGGTGTCCTCTCCATGTGATTTATTGAACTCTATGAAGATGTACGCTGTCTCTTTATATTTACAAGAAATACATAGAAGAGTAACAGTGAAGTATAGAAGTAATAGAAAAACAATAGAGATGAACTCACTCATCTGAAGCTCAAGATCTCAAATTCAAGCCAAGATGAGCAGCGGTTTGAGTACTGTTTATACAAGTAGGAAGTAGTGTTTACCCTATGAGATTTTGATTTGGCTTGTGCTTCTTGATTATTAGCTTGCTTGATTTTTAATAATTGAGGAAAATATTACTATTAATTAATGGTATACAAATGTATTGATAATATTTATTTGCTGATAATATGTACATGTTTTTTATTACATATATGCATCCTTCTATTAAAAATAATCCTATTTGAAGTATGATTGATTGCTAAATGTAAGTATTTTTCTCAGCAAATATTTCATAATTATTCAATCTCTTTTTTATTATAAGAGAGATTGCTATGTTTCCTTCTTTTTATAAGCAAAACTAAAAATTCTATAAGAAGTATTTATCACATGTTTTTCTCATTGTTTATGTTCATCCATAATTGATATTTGAAATTATAATTTATATTTTTACTTTTTCATCCATATATTAAATGAAAGTGAAATGGGTTAGTCTTGAATTTTTTGGATGCCCAAAAGAAAAGAGAAGCTAGATGGGCAGGGTAACATTATCAAAAACACTAGAATAGCAAATTGACATGACAACCCAAAGTTTGATCATTTCCAAACTTTTTATATGTTGTCATATTTTAGTTATTTATTGGTATTTTAATTTTTAAAAAATCCAAAAACATTGACGAGAGGGAGTCATGGTGCTTATTTGATTTCTATTTAAAAAAAATAATACGTTATCTTCTTTTAAAAATTAAAAATAGAAAATAGAAAATAGAAGTATATTAGAACTGTCATTTTCATTTTCACTTTTTTTTTTAAATCACACTACATTTGAATATTGTGAATTACCTTCAGTTAGAACCAAACACTATTATAAGCCATCACTATTAATTAATAGTTACCACTATTATTGGCCATTTTTAACTCAAACTGTTTCCAAATTCACATAATCAAATAAATTTTTATTTTATTTTATTTTAAAAAACAATTTTTAAAATTGGTTTGCAAAAATAATTTTTAAAAACTAAAAAGAGAACAAAACCAAAGAAGCTTTTATTCTTCTTGCTCTCCCACACCTCGTAATTCATTTATATTGAGCTCAACTTGGAAGTCCTCTTTTATCCTTGTAAACTAACACATTGCACAAATAAATCTTCGGAGTAATCTCAAACTTGGCGAATACTCATACATGCCGAAACACTAATTTCCACCGTGGCACTTAATCATTAATGGCGTTTATAAGAGATTCTTAAATCTCACATTTACATTTTCATTATATTTAGACTGTGCTTAATACAGAGGAAAGGGTTTTGAACAGAGCATTTTCATTGTGTTTGATAGATGGTAAGAATAGCATTCTTATTAGGTGCATCGATTTTCCAAACGTTAATTTCCAAGTCCCCAAGCGTACCATAACCAAGCTCCCAAGGCGTCTCAAAGTAAGAATGCAATACACATACCCACACAAACATTTTCAGCTGATCACTTCGTTTTGCCGTCAATGGTAAAAATTATGAATAAAATCGCGACTTTAATAATGATTTTGATCAGTTCTATACATTTCTCTCATTCAGAACAACTGTTCACCTTTGCATTTGATTTCTTCATCTTAAAACCCTCCAAAAGTATCACCAAAGGACCAAAAATTCCTCCAACATAACCTTAAACCAAAATAGCATAAATTTATATGTGTGCAAACCCAACATATAAATGCACATTTTTTTAATTTGAGCATTTAAAATCTGAAAAATTGTGTAAAAATATAATAAAATTTAAGGAAAATATGCTGAGATAACATAAAATTCTAGATGTAGCACACCCCCAAACTTAGATTTTTACTTACTCTCGAGTAAAACAAGCAGCAGAATGTACAGCTAGCTTGATCAATAATTGTCCACCTAATATATCCATGAAAAATTTTTCACTAGTTGCTCGATATGTGTGTCCTTGTCTCGAAGAGGTAGATGGTGGATGATGATCACTTCCAACATTTTACTAAATTTACTGTAATTTTTAATTCAATTGGAAGTCATCTTGTTGAGTTTATTTGCAAAAAAACATGGATTAAGTGAATGAATATCTATAATGAGGAATATGGATAGGTTTCAAGATATTTTTAAAAGCTATTGGACCAAATATATATGACATTAAATTTGGATTTTATGCATATAAGGAGGCTCATTTTATGGCAACGAAAGTTAAAAGTTACGAATCCCACAATAAAGTAATTTCTGCACAATGTTACTGCAGAAACAGGGGTAAGTTACGACAACAATAGGTTGTTTTTTGAAAAATGCACAACTTCACTAATAGAGGTGTTTTTAGGGGTTCTGGAAGGATTTTTTTTGAAGGAGTTCGTCATTCTTCAGCTGGCACACATCCAGGAAGAGTTGAGAGGTGTTAAGCTTGGGAAGCGTTGGGGACTTGCTATTTTTGACAAAAATTGCTTCCGTTAAGCTTTTCTTATTCCTTTTCTCTTTGTATAACTGTTTGAACTTCTTGTTTCAAGAGCTATGATAACTTATAACCTACCTCCATTAGGATTAGTTATAACCTACCTCCAAGGTTATACGTAAAATGCAAATAAATAATTATATCCGTCTTTGTTAATTTTGGGGTCAAAACTTAACAAGAAATGAATAGACATATACTTGGCACATTGTTATATTTCTTAACTTGAATGAAAAATGAAAACTCTAACCCCTAATCACTATTTTAATTGGTTTTTCATAGGAATGGCCTTGATGCACTGTTATATATTACACATCCGATCTGTGCACTTGTAATGCCATTTCATTCTTGTTTGCATCAATTTTCCAAACATATATAACACTAACATGCAAGTCTATTATCCGTACACTACATATTAACAGTTTGGGTAGTTTAATTCTTGCATAATTTATCTCACATTCATATCAGAAACTGTAACATTATAAATAGAACAATTTTCAACTATATCATTAGGTGATGTCGCCTTGCATTCTATTGCATTCATAAAAAATGCTGGTTGTTTCGGTTCAGCTAGGGGAATGGTTTCATTAGACAGAAAAGAAACCACATCTAACGTGTCTGGTCTGTCTTTGGCATGATCTTGCACACAAAGGAGACCAATATGAATGCATCTCAAAATTTCAACGGCACTTGATGTTCCACTTAGCAAGGGATCTACTAGCTGTAAGGCTCTTTCTTCATTCCATAACTTCCATGCCTGTGACATGTTCATATTCATATTATATCGTCAGCCATAACTTGTTATGTACTTAGGATGCATACTTGATAAAAGAATATTAAAAAAATTAATCATTTAATCCTTATACTTTTAACTTGGTTGTAATTCAGTTCTTGATCTTTGACTTGTTGTAATTCAATTCTTTTAGTTTTAACTTTGTTATAACTCAATCTCTGAATTTTGTCACTTGCAATTTAATCCCTATAGTTTCAACCACTTAAATATTGATCCCTAAATTTTCAAAAAATAAAATTATAAAGATTAAAAAAATTTTAAACTTTTAATATTTATAAAGATTAAAAGGGTTTAGTAATATGAAATATTAGTAATGAATTTTAACACAATTTAAATCTTTATAAATTTATTTTTTAAGATATAGAGACTAATATTTAAGTAGGTGAAGGGAATGAATTGTAAGAGTTAAAATTTAGGGACTGAATTACAATTAAGTCAAAACTTTAAGGATTGAATTATAACAAGTCAAAGTTTTAAGACTGAGTTATAATTGAATCAAAATTATAAGGATGGAATGATTAATATTTCCAAGAATATATTTTTTTTAAAAAAAATGATACTTACATAGCCTATGAGATTTAGCAAAACTTCAGAATTAAAACAACCAATATTCTTCTTGCCACTAATAATCTCAAGTAATAATACACCAAAACTAAAAATGTCAGTTTTCACGGAGACAACGCCATTGAGAATATATTCTAGAGACATGTAACCACTGAAATAATAATCAATAAAATGAAAGGAAAGAAATTAGATCTACAATCAATTTATATAAAAAATTGAATTTGAATTGGAAAAACAAGAATTTCAACCTACTGTGTTCCAACCACCCTGTTTGTATTTTCTTGATCAAATTCTTTCAATGCAAATATTCTTGCCATGCCAAAATCAGATATCTTTGGACACATCTGGTGATAAAGTAATATATTACTTGGCTTTAAATCCCGATGAATCACCTTTAATCTTGAATATTTATGTAAATAAACAAGTCCTTGAGATATGCCTTGAATAATATTGAGCCGTTTGTTCCAATCCAATACAATCCTATTATCCTGATCTATATCAATATATTTTAGAACATGTTATGACATAGCCATTTTAAAAGAAAAGCATCAACATATTTGAATCGAGGTGCAAAAATATTCATACCAAAAATATAGAAGTCCAAACTTCTATTGGGCATGTATTCGTATATTAGCATCTTTTCTTCCCCTTCAATGCAAAACCCATAAAGTCTTACCAAGTTGGTATGCTGGAGTTTGGCAATTAATTTGACTTCATTCTTAAATTCTGTTAGCCCTTGTCTTGAATATTTAGAAAGTCTTTTTATTGCTATTTCTCGCCCATCCAATAATCTTCCCTGAAAAACATTCATGTCCAATAATTATCATTCTCTTACTGCATTTGATTGAAAATGATTAAGATCATAGATTATCTTTAGTGCTCTTCCTCTTTTCTGCAATTTTTTCTTCCATCTCTATTACTTATATCGGCAAGGCAGTGCAGTATAGAATATTTAGCCAATACCTTATACACAAGTCCAAAGCCACCTTCACCCAACTTATTTGTTGATGAGAAGTTATCAGTCGCTAAAACGATGCTTTCGAAACTGAATATATGTATCTCCTGCCCCGTTTTATCTGTTTCACTGAATTTTCCTTTGCCACTTACAGTTAAGGGTATTGCAATATCACCAATTTCATGTAATAGCTTCTTCTGGTTCAATCCTTTTCGCTCTACACTCATGGTCAAGCATATACATAAGAAACCAAAAGAGTACCAAACAAACCAACCTGGTATAATAGACACCTTATGAATATGTCTTTTAAATATTTTTATCGAATATTCTTACATAAATAAAGTTTGATAATGGTTTTTGTCTCAAAGCTAGATTTTTAAGTTTCATAGTACAAAAGCTGAATATAGAAGAATAGAACTGCTGCTGATGGGAAGGGTGATGTTCTAATCAATAACATAGAACGTTGGCCAAAATAAAAAAAAACAACATAGCAAAAAAAAAATTATTGCACAAAGTTCGCAAGAAAAGTTGATTTTGAGTACTTAAGTGATGCTCCGTCATAACAAATGTGCAAATGTTTATACTTACCTTTTAATTTCTTTGTTTTGTAGATCCATATTCCGCAAGAAACCAAGAGGAATATCACCAAAGCAGAAAGAGATGTAACAAGTGGAAAAACAAACTTCCTTTTTGGAATAATATACTTGTTTTTGCATGAGTCCAACAGACAAAGACCACTATTATCTGCCAAACTAAGGGACAATTCAATTTTATTAGCGTTAATAGTCACATTGGAACAAACAATAATAATAATAATAATATATAAAGATGAGAAACCTCAATTGCAAGTCTGACTTTTCTTTAAGAGCCTTGGGAATTGAACCTGTAAACTCGTTGCCCCTTAAATTACTGCAAAGACATTGTGAAACATATTCGCTTGGTCGGCAAGCCCAAAGTTATCAAGGTATGTAATTTGTAGTAATTCATTCTAAACAATGAAATTCAAAACTTACAGGACTCTCAATTTTTGCAACACAGCTAGAAATTCTGGTACTGATCCTGACAAATTATTAAATGACAAATCTCTGGAACAGAGCAATGTTTTACATTAAAAAATTCGTACACTAAAGATTTTGTCATAATTAAATCATTGTATACTTACAAGGACTCTAACTCTGTAAGTTGCGAGAATGATGTAGCTATATCTCCTGTTAAGTTGCTCGTGCTCAAGTTTCTGCTTGGAGTAATTATTATACATATACTAAGGTTGGAGATCATAAAAATTTCTCGAGTATAGCTTATGGGATGGCTAATATAGTTGAAATAACATCAAATCAAATTGACTCAAGTCAAGTTAGTTTTCATCAAAAAAACGTTTGAGGTGAGAAGTGGAACTGGTCGAAGAGTTCATGTTGAACTCAGGACTGAAAATAATGAATATAGTTATTTTTATAATAATAATAATAATATAATAATAATAATAATAATCATCATCATCATCATCATCATAAATACAAGCGTTTTACTTTAATTTAAGGAGCGAACGCTTACAATGAGGTGATCCTTACGTTGGACTCATATCTGCAGCTAAGTCCCTCCCATGCATATTCCTCGGGAACACATGGGTCACCTTGCCAATCTATTTTGGAGATTTTGTATGTGTTCTTGATGTCCAGAATGGCATCCACTATTATTACCAATAGTGAATAGGGTCTCAGGAGTCAAAGTCAAACACATTCTCATACATAAAGAAATGATAGAATATAAAGAAACATAGTCGAACTAGGAATTAAAGAGTATCGCACCATCTGTTTCATGTGTTGGGGAAGTTAGTGGTGATATGGATCTATAAATCTCAAAGGCATTGAAGATTGGAGGAGCGTCGGATTCTGATGTTGCGCTTATGCTGAAACGAATACCAATTCGATTTGTGACAGCAGAAACTGTCCGTGGTTTCAAGTATTCGAGAGATAAAGGCTCGTTGAGGATGGTTTCATCATTTAGAGTAATATTGATAATTCTCTTTTGCCCTGGGAGAAGCTGCTCAATTTCAGCAAAGTGAAAGTAGACATAAAAGGTGAATGGCTTTTCAAATGTAGTGACAGAAACACTATCAAAGTTTAAGGCAAATGAGCGATTCAATGATTGCGCTGCAGATATCAAAACTTGCGATGGTAATTTATAAGAATTATTTGTGCTTCCACGATCAATATTTACAGATCTGTTGAATGGATGCCATCCTTCCACTTCAGAAACTTCGTCATAGCGCCACAAACGATCATAGATGTCATCCTTGTACCTATAGATGTAGACAAATGAATTTGAGAATTGCTTCGATGCTTGTATAAGGATAAATTAGAAAGAAAGTATTGGGCCTTGAAGCCGACATTAAATTTATATCCAGATAAGCATCGAGGAGTGAATAGTAAACTGAGATAATAAAAAGAATTTATTAGGGTGCTTTTGGCTATAAAGGAAGGAGGGGTGGGAAAAGTCAGAGGGTTAATGATCTGTTGTTTGATTTGATCAGATCGAAGGGGAGGGAAGGAACTAATATTTTTAAGTTGACTATTTCACCCTTATTATAGTTGTTCTATATTTTATTTATTATTAATATATTATAATTTATTAATTTTATATTTTGAAAATGCCAATACTTGCACCTTATATCAATCATTTTTATTAAAAAAATTAATGTATTAATAACATCATAATTCTTCAATGTATATTTAATGAAACTATATTGAATTTTAGTTGAAAAAAAATGTTGAACCAATATTATATTAATATTATAACTCATCTCATGAAGGTCTTGTGTGTTGGTTTCCCAATTTTATTCTTTGGCAACTTTAGAGCAAGACCATTCCATGTATTTTATTTATTTATTTATTTTCATGGGAAGTCATTTTTCTTTTGATTCCAATAAAAATATTAAAATTTTATACATAAATAAATTATTTATTAAATTTTATTGGGTAATAAAACTTATTTTATTATAAGAGAGATGGAAAAAAAGATAACTTTTAATATCATAAATAGTTTTGAATTTTCAAAACAAAATGGGGGTAACTTAGTCAATGTCAATTTTCTCTCTTCTCTCCCCTCCAAAAGGCTTCAATTTAAAGGGGAGGGATGGGGGTTGTTTTCTAACTCTTCTTTACCATTTTTAAACCAAACGAGAGTTCCCATTCTTCCCCTTTATTGTTTATCAACTAAACAAAGGAAGCGGAGCTCCTCCCCCTACAAAATAACCCAACCAAACATACCCTCTAGAGAGTATTATGCTGTAGGTTTCGTACTTTCGTTGTATTCAATGATGGCTGTGCATGATATAGTATCAGCTAAGTTATGTAAGATATGATAATCCCATCTAACATTTACATGTCAGAGATATGGCTAACGGTGAAACAAGGACTTGCCCAGAACATGTGGACACGCTAATACCCCTTAGTAATCTTAATTCTGGCCTGATAATTTGTTCAGCAAGCACATGAATAAAAGCAAGGTAAGATAAAATCCATAAAATGAATACATGCAAACACAACAATAAATTTCAATTTTAAAAAACAGGACAATATAAATTTGGAGTCACCTGCTGAACACATCTGAAGTCGTGGAATTAATGTAGCCAACATCGACTCTTGCATCGAGGATTAACAGTGATTGAGAAGGGGAGGGAATCAGGTAAGTAGAATTGGCGAGGAGTCTTAGCTCCAATGTAGAAATGAAAGGTATTCCCTTTCCAGACTTGACAAGGCAAACATCTATGGTGTCTGTTGTTGGAGTATGAATAATCTCCGCAACCTGATAACCTTCATACGGAGGATTAACAGGTGTCCAGTGATTGACGCCGAGGTGCAAGTCAAAAGATGGAGTCTGATTTTTGCCATCATAATTTCCATATGTGAAGAAAGCTCTTATAAGGTAATTGTTGTTTTTTCCCTGTTTTGGTTTCAGTCTGTAGCAATTCCTTTTTCCTTCTGGGAAACTTCTCAGCGTTTGCAATTGCCTCCCAAAATAAAGATAATCTATGCTATATCTTTTATCAGGTGCCACCATAGCATTTGTTCCTGTTTCTACAAAGCCTGTGTCTGTCTTATACGAGATTTTAGTTTGTGGGTCAGTGTATGCGTTGCTTGCTCCACAGTCAATGCTTATGAAATCATCTGTGCCTGCAAAAACTGATACATGCAAATTTATCAAACTACAACACATATAATGGTTGGTTTTAAATACATATAATTAAAGGAAAAACCTGTGAACTAATGAACAAATAAAATATTAAGCAAAATTTACCATGGTTGCCAAACTTGAGGAAAAGTTGGATTACGACGAACCATAGAATTCGATGTGGTGTCCTCTCCATGTAATTTGTTGAATTCTATAAAGACGCTCTGTCTTTAGTACGATAAATACATAAAAGATCAGTAAGAGGGATGTATAGAAGTAATATAATAGAAAAACAATATAGATGAACTCACCTGGAACTTGAGATCTCAGATTCAAGACAAGATGAGCAGTGGTTTGAGTACCTTTTATATAAGTAGGAAGTAGTGTTTACCCTATGAGATTTGGATTTGGCTTGTGCTATTTGATTACTTAGCTTTGTTTGACTTTTAAAAAGAAAGTTAAGAAAAATAATGCTAATAGCTAATGATACACACTTGCGTATTGATAGTAGTTATTTTTTTTATTAATGTTATAATTTTTGTATAATAATTACAGGTTTTTTATTGTATATAGATATCCTTCTATTGAATACAATTTTATTTAAGACATAGTCGATCCTAAATATGAGCACTTCACTTGATAGGGACTTGAAATTACATGTTTCACCTATGGGCTAAAAATTTACACCTCTCTGTTACCGTGACCTCACACATTCGGGAAGTTGGGAGTAATCTCTAATTGCTTTTTATTTGTTCTTTAGAGAAAACTTATATATATATATATATATATATTAAATTTTATAAATTTAATATGTTTGTTTCTAATCAAATCAATATGTGTGCAATTTTTTATCCATGATTTACCTCTAACTAACTCTTGATATTAATAATATTTTATATTTTTGAAAATTTTAAACTCTGAATACTAATTTAATTGGAAACAATTATATTAAGTGTATAAAATTATGTAATTTTTACCCTTGTTCTTTTATTTCATACAAATTACTCAAACATTAATTCGTTGCATTGTTAAAAACTAGCATCATCTGCAAGAGCCATCCCGTTGGTAATAAGTTCCTTGATAATTAATATTTACGTGTAGTTTTGTGCTTTTAATTTGTAGTGAAATTCGAATAATACATCAACTTTGAATGTGTGTTGATTGGGAATTATCGGTCCTGATTCAGAACTAGTCTAAAATTAATAACAAAAATAATTATAAATATTAAATAATAAATATTATCCTTTTTTTTTTGCGTTTTACTTTTCCGTTGTTTCCATCTTCCATGCATATAGAAACAAATTGACTTAGGGAGATTCCATCCTTTTGGAATATATTGTGTGAAGTATGTGGTTGAGTGTGCATGAGTGTGTTCTTCAACTCTCATCCCCATATTCCTTATCGGGAAGCGATTTCGTCGAAGGGCAACGGTAAGTGGTGCTTTTGGAATTAATGGTATTCACCCTCAAATTCATTTTGTAACATGAATAATATTTTATTCTTGGTCATTTGTTTTGTTTCCTCTTCAAATGAGAGGGCATGGAAAAGTATAAAGCTGATCTTCGAAATTCCAAGTACTTGGATGGACATAGGAGTGAAGGAGTGGAAAAATCCACAACATGCCATGACATCTGCCTTGGCATTTAAATTTTGGTAAATTATCATTTAAGAACCACAGGAGAATTTTTTAATTAAGGAATGATTTTAAAAATATGAAATTTCATTACACCCCTAGGTACCTATATGAAAATAACATTTTATGATAAAAGACTTAATTATTTCTAAGATTTTATGGATACATAAACAAGAATTCATTCAGTTTTGGAAAACTAATTATACATAATTAACAACAACCCATTCATGAATGAAAGTTGCAGAAACTCCACAAGCCATGACATCCACCTTAGCATTTAATTTTTGAAGCAGTTGCTTCCCACCCTTTAAGACTATGTTTCTACATGCCATTGCTCCTCTCTTTCCTTGGATTTAAATTCGATGAGTGGTCTAAATCTTCTCACTCAATAAATGTCTCAATTATAGTCATTGAATTTTATTAAAACTTAAAAATTATTAAAATATATTTCTCTCCTAAAACTTAAAAACAATAATCACAATAAAAACACTTTTACATACGTTGTCCCCCAAAAATTTGAGATTTAATATTTCTTAAATATTATATAACAAAATCTTTAATAGCCGCTCAGTTAAATCATACTATTGTTATTGTACCATGTGAGACATTTATTAAGTAAGTGGCCTAAATCCAAATTTTTGGATTTCTTTTCTCTTATCTAATTAATTAAGTAAGGCACCACCTCTCTGTTTCATCATTCATTGTATAAGTATTCAGTTAATTTCCCATTTATCTTTTTGCAACACAAATACTTTAACCTTTCTCTTCGCCTTTCTTTTTCTTTTTTACCAGCATCTCTCCATCCCTCCATCATGATACTTTAACAATATTCATACCAATCACACTATTGAAAAAAAATCAATTACTTCATAAATTTTACAACAGGACTTGCAACCATGCTAGAAATTGAACAAGGATTTAATATGATTGATTTTAAGTATAATTGAATAGAAAAATTAAAAATCAAGTAACTTATGATTTTGTAAAAAATATACTGAAACACTATTAAATAGGGGTGTTTGGATATTTTTAATAAGAAAATCATGATTTTATGTTTATAATTGATTTTGACGTATAATAAAGTGGCTTTTGCAGATATAAACCATGTTATATAACTAAATCAATCAAACATCCCAACATTTATTATATTTTTCATTATGACTAATTTATTATATCTGTCAATGATATACTGATGACTTCCAATATTTTAATGAATTTAATAGTGTTTTTAATGCAATTGGAAGTCATCTTATGAAATTAATTAGCAAATATGTGATTAAGTCGATAATTATTTGTGAGATTGTAGGTGGATAAAGTTCAAGACAATTATTGAAGTTAGTGGATCAATTATGACATTAAATTTGAGTTTTATTTATATAGGGAGGCCCAATTTATAGGCCTAAAGCTAATAATTTAAAGCCCACAAGAAATTAAATTTTGCCTAATGATGCTGCAGCACCAATTTTGGATGTCACGACATTAGACCAGTTTTTAGCAAAACATACAGCTTCACTTAAAATTATGTTTTAAGGTTTCTGGCTATCATTTCCATTCTAGTTCATCTTCAACCAACAGCTACACATCCAGGCAGCATTCTAAGGTGGAGAAATAGTTGGAGAAGCTTGGGGAATACTTGAGTCTTGCAATTTGTGACAAAAATCATCATTCCTAAGCTTTTTTCTTTCTTTTCTCTACATTTTGATGTATCTTTTGCTGAATATTGTTGCTTTATGCAGTTTTAATGGCTGCTAGTGGCTAAACACGTTTGATCTACAATAACTATGAACTTGTTGGTGGATTAGAGCTTGTTTTTACCCATTGGTTATGCTTAATATTAATTTTAGTTGCTCAATCTTACATTTATTTGTCTATTTAATGTTTTGTCATGCCCTAAAATTTAGGTGTGACTAGCTCAAAATATGCACAAGAACTCACATCATTTAAGCCTTAATACCAATTCCTGTATTTTAATTATAATACATTCATGGTGTTGAGTAAGGTCCTTTTATTTTATTAATAACAACAGTCATAAATTTTCTATGTGCATCTAATATAGAATCTCCTAGAAATTTTACAAGAAGAATTTCAGCCAAGCTACAATAAGGAATAGGCAAACAGATAATAGTTCACCTATACAAGGATCCTAATTATAATCTATGTGGAGCATCTAAAATAGAATTTACAAATCACAGTATAATATATAAATTCAAGTTTTACAACCATTAGAAACTTAATCAAATTAATGCTTTAACTTCAATTGGAAAATACCCTTGTATAATCCTCTGAAGGTCCATAATTGTCTACAATATCTGAGGCAAAAATTTTTTTTCCAGTGAATGACATCCCAATAATAAAAAAAAATCAAGATAAATAAATTCATTAAGTACATTGGTGCATAATTTAAAGAGAGCATTAAAATAAAATAATATAATAATTGAACTTGGAGACTATGAGATTCTAGCTTTAAAAATACTGAACTAGTAAATTTACAATGACAAAACCTTAACACTTGATCTTGTAAAATAAAATAAATTAAGTAAATAAGAATAATAATATTCATTGTTTAAAATCAATAAAGTGTGTGTATTTCACAAATCAATTAAATTCGAGGACTTTGCAAAATAAGTAACAAATATGAATACACAGTCTATGAGGGTAAATAATCAAATGCAGCCGAAGCCACGAAACAAATGTGAACACACAGTGTACGAGGGTAAGTAACCAAACGTAGCCAAAGCTACGAAACAAACATGGATACACAGTCCATATGAGTAAGTAACTAAACGCAACCGAAGTCATGAAACAAATGTAGATACACAGTCCACGAGGATAAATAACCAAACGTGGCTTGAAGCCATGAAAACAAATGCGAGTATGAGATCCACGAATAACAAACGTGAGAACAAAGCTCACGGAAATCAAACTAGCAAGTCATTGATCATGGCGTGCCAAGAGCTAACAAATTGCCATTAGCAACCAGTGTTCTGCATAAAATTCCCATCAAATTTATTTTCAAACATGCGAGAAAATCATTACTATAAAAATCCAATTTTCATTCTTAAAGTCAAACCCACATGAATCTTTTCAAAACCTCAATTCTTCTCAATATAAAATTCTTCACTAATTCTACATTTGCCTTCATCATATAAAAGATTACTATTAGAGCTAGTGAAACTTTTCATCAGCCTTCAAGATATATTTTATAATGAACATATATAGATATATAATAATTCCACTATTTTTCACCATACAAATTACAATTTCAAGAGTTTAAAACAATACAATTAACAAAATATTAAACACTTAAAATAGTATATGAAATCTATTTAAGAAAATAATATTTTAGTAAAATGAAATTTGTTAGAAAATTTATTGGGACGTTATCCACTTACCTGAGACATGCCCAAATACATAACTTACTCCTAATTAGCCACTTTATGTAAAATTATCTACACCTGAATTCCCTAATGCCCAAAGGAACATTACTGTCATTTCTTTTAACACTTTATAACCCAAAATTTCCAGCCCAAACAAATTTAGGAAAATGAAAAAGAAAATCTCAACATTGATATTTCACAAGTAAAATGCCATGCATGTTGCGTTTAATAAATAAATATGTGACATATACGCACATAAACAATACTCAAAGCCTTCAAGTCTTTCTATAGAAAATAAACAGCTCTTGTTATGACTTATTCAACATTTTCAGTCATATTCATATCCAATTTTCATAATCTTCTTTTCACAAACATTTTATATGCACTCAAAGA